AATGTTTGTGATTCAATACTTTCACAGAGAGAATGTTTGTGATTCACTACTTACACCTTGAAAATGTTTGTGATTCACTACTTACCCCTTGAGAATGTTTGTGATTCACTACTTTCACAGAGAGAATGTTTGTGATTCACTACTTACACCTTGGAAATGTTTGTGATTCAATACTTTCACAGAGAGAATGTTTGTGATTCACTACTTACACCTTGAAAATGTTTGTGATTCAATACTTACACCTTGATAATGTTTGTGATTCACTACTTACCCCTTGAGAATGTTTGTGATTTACTACTTACACCTTGAGGAGGTTTGTGATTCACTACTTACATCTAGAGTAGCGCAGCTGAAGTCTGGCCGGATATTTCTTGTCCGGAATATTGGCGGATCCTGTCATTGTATAAGGGTGGCCAGACCTGGAACATTTTGTTTCGTCCATGATTACAAGTTATTGTACAAGAGTGTAAGGAAACATCAAGATATATCAGAAGACATCGTTTCGAAAGTTATATCAGTCATTCGATATAAGACTAGAAATTGTTAGTTAACAATTTGATGGGCTTTTCACAGTTAGGACTGGTTTCTGTCTTTAATCACAAACATTTTTTTTAAACACCATGGTCTTTACCCTCTATGGAGAAAAGGATAATATAAACCATAGTACCGAAAATGAGCTTTGTTTTCATTAAATATTTACATTTTTTAGACATTTGACCTCTATGACCTTGATCAATCCAAGGTCAACCATTTTGTCAAACGTGATAGTTAAACATGTCATCATCTTACGTATCACATATCAAGACTCTAGACCTTGGAGAACTTGAGAACAAGCTGTTCAAAGTTTGTTCTCCAAAAAAGTGCATTTGAACTGTGACCCCTGCCGAAAACCGAAAGTAGACCTTTGACACAAAAATGTTTCGTAGGAAAATGTTTTGTATTGTTAGTCTAGATAACATTACCAAATATGAAATGAATGGATTTATTCATTAAAGAGTTATTGCAAATAGTCAAAAAACAGATATGACGTCATGGCAGCCATTTTGGATTTGGGATCTAATTAAAAGTTACCAAAAGTTTGGGTGTAGGTATTCTGGGCAAACATATAAACCAACACTTGATGAAATCTGCGTAGCAGAACATCAGAATAAAACGGTTTTAACATATTTTCAATCTTGCAAAAAGATCAAAGGAAATATTCCAAATATCGTAGGATGTTAGCGGTGAACGTTACAGAAAAAAATGAAGACATCGAATTCATTTAAATGCAATTTTCCATCGTGTAAAAAAAAATCAATGACGTCATGGCGGCCATATTGGATTTACACCTTTAGACCTTGACTACAATGTACTTGTAAAACTATAAACATATCTGCTACCAATCAAAAGATTAGAAAGCCACAAAATCATGACAGACGAAGAAGAAGAAGAAGAATAAGAAAGATAACAAAAACAATAGGTCTTTTCACCACCATAAGTGAAAAGCCCTAATTACTATATCCGTCGAAACTACAGAAATATAACCCATCAGCACTGTCGTCAGAAGTGACTTGTAACCCCTGTAGTCGACACTACCTCCAATGTAGTATAGCCCATCACCACTGTCGTCAGAAGTGACTTGTAACCCCTGTAGTCGACACTACCTCCCCAGTAGTATAGCCCATCAGCACTGTCGTCAGAAGTGACTTGTAATCCCTGTAGTCGACACTACCTCCAATGTAGTATAGACCATCAGCACTTTCGTCAGAAGTGACTTGTAACCCATGTAGTCGACACTACCTCCCCAGTAGTATAGCCGATCATCACTGTCGTCAGAAGTGACTTGTAACCCCTGTAGTCGACACTACCTCCCCAGTAGTATAGCCCATCAACACTGTCGTCAGAAGTGCCTTGTACCCCCTGTAGTCGACACTACCATCCCAGTAGTATAGCCCATCAGCACTGTCGTCAGTAGCGACTTGTAACCCCTGTAGTCGACACTACCTCCCAAGTAGTATAGCCCATCAGCACTGTCGTCAGAAGTGACTTGTAACCCCTGTAGTCGACATTACCTCCCCAGATATATAACCCATCACCACTGTCATCAGAAGTGACTTGTAACCCCTATAGTTGACACTACCATCCCAGTAGTATCGCCCATCACCACTGTCGTCAGAAGTGACTTGTACCCCCTGTAGTCGACATTACCTCCCCAGATATATAACCAATCACCACTGTCGTCCGAAGTGGCTTGTAACCCCTGTAGTATACACTACCTCCCCAGTAGTATAGCCCATCAACACTGTCGTCAGAAGTAACATGTAACCCCTGTAGTCAACATTACCTCCCCAGTTATATAGCCCATCACCATTGTCGTCAGAAGTGACTTGTAACCCCTGTAGTCGACACTACCTCCCAAGTAGGAACGCCCATCAGCGCTGTAGTCAGAAGTGACTTGTAACCCCTGTAGTCGACACTTCCTCCCCAGTTGTATAGCCCATCACCATTGTCGTCAGAAGTGACTTGTAACCCCTGTAGTCGACAATACCCCTTGTAGTCGACACTACCTCCCAAGTAGGAACGCCTATCAGCGCTGTAGTCAGAAGGGACTTGTAACCCCTGTAATCGACACTACCTCCCAAGTAGGAACGCCTATCAGCGCTGTAGTCAGAAGTGACTTGTACCCCCTGTAATCGACACTACCTCCCAAGTAGGAACGCCTATCAGCGCTGTAGTCAGAAGAGACTTGTAACCCCTGTAATCGACACTACCTCCCCCGTAGTATAGCCCATCACCACTGTCGTCAGAAGTGTCTTGTAACCCTTGTAGTCGACACTACCA